ATGCATCAATATATATATACGATTTCGTGTTATCAGTGCACACCGATCCTCTTGATCCACCCCTCACACAACATATACACGACGCACAAGGCGTACCAATCTCACGGATCCATTCACGTCATAAAATACATACATAACAAGCACACAAAGTGCGTCGATCCCACAGATCCACTCACCACACAACTTATCACTTACAATGCACACAAGGCATCTCGGTCCTACTGACCCAAATACATCACATAACAGCACACAATTGCAACGCATAATAAGCGTATCGATCCTCACAGATCCACTCACCACAACACACCAACAAAACACACTCAAGACGCCACGATCATACTGATCCTCATATCTCACACACAACACACACACAGTGCACACATCTCACGTACACATCCACAACGGTTCATACATAATGCATAATTCAACGATTATGCCACTTGCGATAAACGCCGGCCAAAACAGCCCTACAACCACCAACATACGCTTGCATCAGCATCTCCAGCAAGCCTCCCATTACACATGACCAACGAGAGTCTAAGTCCACAGAGGAACAACACAAACATAGCAGCAAAATACAAAACTGCTGATGGGCTCGCTGGCACATTCGCCCGGCGAAGCCCACGCAGCGAACACTCGCTGCCATTCGCCCGGCGAAACCTCTGGCGAAGCCAGACAGAAGCTTCTGCCAGCACTCGCTGGCTAGTTCGCCTGGCGAATCCTGGCGAAGGCTCACCCCTCATTCGCCCAGCGAATACCTGCGTACTCAGAAAAATTCTGCACTGCAGAGGCACCTCCCACACCGATTTCGCCCGATTAAATCGAAACCCACCACCAACCACATACTGCAACTTAGTTACGGGGTCTATTCCCGATTCTGTCCGACAATTCATCAACTCTGCTCTCAAAACCAACTTCCGGCTCAACTTCGAACTTTGCTCTCCGAAAACCTTGTGCTCTCCAATCTTTGATCATAAAATTCTTCTGCCGTCAAAAAGTCTCTTCTCTCATCGTTAAAACTCATATAAAATATTGTGTTTGGTTTGGAGAATATTCACACTATTACCTAAAATCCATTTCACAACTGTTAGAAAAGGGATACCATCACGCCTGACCAACCATTCTAAGGTAAGGGGTGTTTGTATGTATGATACTTTTCACCACGGTCGTGCGGTCGTGATTATAAGCTATGTAGTGCGCTACCTATCACAACGCTTACTTCAAACAACCGTTCTGATATTCTTTAATGCATAAAATTTAACATTGGTTATTCTAAACAAGTGTTGTGATATACATATTGAGTTTATTGTAAACTATGTGGAATGTTTTTTCGCCAATACTCACTAAACAATTAACCTTTCAATCTGATCTAGAACATTATAATATGAAAAATTAAGTTTTATTAAAAGAACAAGTTAGACGTTCAATGCCAGACAAGAATTCTTCAGTCCGTTATTTGTATTTTGCACTTTAACCATTAGAACTCAATTTAATATTTATAGTTCTTCAACCTCCCCTTCTTTCACCTCTAGTTCATTTTTCAAAATATTATTTACTTTTCAAATAAATTAGAGGTGGAGAAAGGGGAGGTTGGAGAACTAGAAGCAATAAACATAGTTCTAACGGTTAAAGAGCGAAATGCAGATAATGGGTTGAAGAATTCTTCTCTAGAATTGAACGTGTAATTTGTTTTCTAATATAAATTTATCTATTATATTATAATTTTCTAATACAATCTGAAAAGTTATATATTCGGTAGGGGGTTAAAAAAACACTTAAACCATATAAGATATAATAAACTCATGTTTTAAGAAAATATATTAAAAACAACATTCATTAATAATATTCATTAACAACAAATCTTAAACAACATACAAGATACAACAAACAACTCTTTTTAAAAACAAAACAAAAAATCATCAACATATAGCATAAACAAATTACAACATACAACTTTTATTAATAACAACGACAACAACACATTAACTAATAGAATGTTTCAGAAACATTTGTGTCCCAAAATAGCATCCACAATGAAAGCAAGTCCAAACTGATGTGAAAGCTGCAAACTTGTGTTAATTTTGAATGGATGTCATTCTGGGTCTTTTGCACAAGTTTGCAACACTCACTTTAGCTTCATCCTCGTTACTTTTTTTCATTCACCAACCCTACCTACAAGTTAAAACAAGCAGAAAGTTCAAACATTATGAAACGAGCTATTGAAACTGAAAAGATAATATATAAACAGATTTTGAAACATAAACTATTGTAAAGACAAACATGTAAGGTAGCCATTTGCTAAGATTTGATACAACAAAGGTAACCCTTCGAAGAAGACGAGTTTGCTACATATGTTTGGGGTTTCCATATGAGAGAGACGAGTGATATAGGGGTTAGGGTTTTATTTTGAGAGAAACGGGTGAAAGAGTGTTATGGTTTTGTTTTAAGAGACATGATTGTTATATACTGAAGCGAGAGATAGTTTCTCTTATATATAAAAACGTAAAAGCTTTCACCACAACTGATAATACGAACCTTGATGAAATGATTGCATTTTTCACCACGGTTGATTATAAGAATCGTGGTGATATACAAGGTTAAAATCATTATGTCACGATAAATAGAAAGTTGTTGGTACGGGATTCGAACCTTTTCACTCCAAGTACATTTCACTACGGTTGTTAGCTATGATTGTAGTGAAATGTCTTTTAGTAAATACAAAAAAACTCCCAAAAGTGAGTAATTACCACGGATAATAGGAAGTTCATTGTGAGTAGAGTGCACCTAAGAGGAGGTGATGAATTAGGAATTTGATTGATTTTTAGTTTTAATGAAGTGTTACTACAATTTTTTGATTTGATGATGTTTAGAAAGCGGTAAAGGCATAAAAGTAAAGAACACCATAGATATATCCTGATTCCTCTCACAATCTGAGAGTTCTCCAGTCCCTTTACGTAATAAGAGATTTCAATAAGTGTTAGAGTGTTAGAACCTTGTACTAGTCTATCGTAGCCACTACACACAAATTACTAGCTTAATCTATAAGGAAAACTCCTTTATGATTTAACAAAGTAGAAAAAGAGAATATTCCTCACTTTTTCACTCTCTTGTGTCCAACATTTCTGGACAACAAGGTATACACAAATTTGAATTTTACACATGAAGTTGAAGTTGAATGATATTTATGAATCTCTTAAATTGATCTTCTCTTTCAAGTATATAATTGACAAATATATTATACAAGCGCTCATAATAGAAAATGATTAAACTTTTTAATTGATGCAATGACAATGAATTATGAAAGTTTCACTCAAAAGCATAAGACACAAGTCACTTATTTCTGAAAGATGGAAGAATGAGTTTGAATTATAATCAAAGAGGTTAATTTTCAAAGTTTGAAACCTTTAGGTATTTATACATGCATCATACACTACTTCATTGGTAACCGGTTAACACATAATTATAATCGGTTATAACTGAAGCATTTTTTAAAAAATTAAAATTTACGTTTGTGTAACCGGTTAACATGTTTTGGTTAACTGATTAACGTGTTAACCGATTACAGAAACTGATTAACCCGTTACACCTGATGCATTTTTGAAAAAAAAGTTAAAATTTTTTTCTCGTAACCGGTTAACAACATTGTGCAACCGATTACACCTGATGTAAAAAAAATACTTTAAGTACCATAATTATGTACAACAACAAGTTACCAAAAAGTATTTTATGCATCAAGTTAAAATGATTATGATAATTCTGAGCACTATGATAAAACACGTGATCAATTGTAACTTGTACCGTAGTGAAGTGATCATTCTCCTAAGTTTCAAGAATATCTTGATAATGTTGCTTGAGATACAAGTCTTGATATCATAGCTTGAGTCATAGAGCTTGTCTCATCCTTTGATAATGCACATGAACTTGAGAAAGTATACTTGTCTTCATCAAAACATAATGTTGAAGAAGTTTGACTTCACACGTTGTAAGATGGTGTTACGAAAGATATATTTTATAGTAGTGTCAGTATAAAACTCTTGTTTTATTGTAAGAAGGTTTGCGGGCATAACATGTAAAATACTCACATCTATAGTGGAAACTCTCAAATAGAAATTCTTAGAAAGAGTAGTAAGGCAAGTGGTTAAATCGAACAGCTATAAATCTCTAGTGCAATTCTCCTAACCCTTATGTCTTTATATTTTCACTATTTCTTTATTTTTGTTCTACTTTAATCTCTTATTTACTCGTATTTTTTTTTTTTGTTATTTATTTCACTGTCTATTCATTGTTCTGTTTAAAAAATTATTTTAAACAATTTATTTCATCCAAAAAAAATTAATTGGATATTAATTACATCAGTGTAAGTCTCCATAGTCAATATCGATGTATGTTTTTGTAGTCAAATTTTTACTTATTTTAAATCGATATAATTAAGAGCTAAAGGTTGGACCGAAATAAAACGAGTGATAATTAAATAAAAAAATTTAATTAATTTTTTATATATCATACAAAACAAAATACATATACTAAACTAAAGATGAAAAATTATAATTCAATATATGTTCTATTGTCTTCTAAATTTTTAAAAGGATTAAACAATTTTATTTTTAAAATAATTGTTGATTTATAAATATCAATATTTTATTTATATTAGAATATAAATATTAATAAATTCTACCGATAGAGATTGAACTAATTTATCCGTCCAAATAAATTTTATTAAGATTACATAAGTATCACTTTTGAATAGCGTTTTATAAATATATTTTACTTCTATTTTTTTTTCTATTTTATTAAAGCCAAATAAATTTTCTTTTTTGTTTTTAATGGGATCTTAATAAAATCTATTTCCATTGTGACAGTTTGTAGTTTGTTTATGACGGTGCTATTTTCTAGCTTTAAGATTGATCTTGTATGCTTTTCTCACTCACTCTTAATTCACTCTCCAACCGACTCTTTCTTGTTTCTTTCAAACCTTCCTCCTCTTCTCCATTCTCATCATCATGAAGAATAACAACAATTCTTCGTCTTTTTCTCATCCTCATGATCAATGCCAGAAACACAAAGCTTTCAAGTGTGAGTTTTGTGACCAACATTTCACCTCAGGCCAAGCACTTGGTGGCCACAAAACATGCCATCGCTCCAACAACAAGATACGTGACGATCATCATCGCCACAAAACAGTCAAGATCACTTTCTTTTTAACTGATAAAACCATAAAGAAAAGATATTCTTGGACTAGGGTTTTGAAGCCTACGGTTCATCATCCACCTACTGCATTGGGACCTTGTCAGCAAGAAGAGTTTCCAGCTGTTGACTTGTTAAGTTTGCTGCCACCAAGATCGTACAATACCAAGAAAAGGAGCCGGAGATATCTTATTCATCATGGAGTTTCTAATAATACTCCTTCAATACCGCCGTTAGATATCTCCCGAGAATCGGTTGCGAATCTTGATGCAAATCATCGTGAGTGTAAAAGAATGAAACTTTCAAGCAATGTGAATGATACTGAGATCATGCAGAAACCCTTTGTGCCGCTGACAAGTGACGGTTTTGATGAAACAGTAGTGAAGGAGGAGAAGAACCTGAACGGAGGTGAAACAACAGTGTCAAGAGTTGTTCGTGAGTTTGATTTGAACGACCTCCCGGCTAATGATGTTGAAACAGTGGTGTCAAGAGTTGTTCGAAACATCGATTTGAACAAGCTCCCAACTAATGGTGTTGAAACAGAATGACTGATATTCTGTTTGTTAGTTTTAGATGTTTATGTTGAAACAAGATAATGAATTATATTCTACTGTCATGTAATTTGATGAAAAGATATATGTATGGTTTAGATTTATTTTAGTCTTATGATTTTAAATTTTCATCTTTTGATTGTGTGTTAATCTTGTAATCTTGTTTGTATGAAAATATGATGGAGTTGAGAATTGAAGTTGGTGGGAAAATGTCTTGTGGTAAGTGGTTTTGAAGAGTAATAACATGAACTTTTTATTATCATATTTAGTTCATTATACTTTTTAAGTGAATTGCCTCTTGTGATACAGTCTAATCAGGTATATGAATTGCAGTAGCATTATTAGATGGTGTTATCAGTGTCACAGTTTTAAAATATCAACATATAAAGTATAGTTTAACTTGTTAAGAAAAAGTTAGATGATGTGAACACATTACTCATGTATATAGTGATTTTTTTGTAAGTTTAAATAATCAACTCACCAATCACCATTCACTTACGACAAATTAAGCCAAAACAAAGTTAGCACTCTATCAAATAGTTTTGTGACTCCCTTTACTCAATTCATGTGATTTTTTCCCTATATCCTCTTATCTTTCATTCAACAAAAAGGAGTAATATGTGTGCTAGATTATGATATTCTTTTGAGCACATTAAATGAAAGAGATGGTTAAAATGAAGTATACCTTCCTTTTTTTTTTTCTTGATTGAATATAATATATAGCTTGAGTGATGTGAAAAATGATTGATTTTTTTTATGATTGGTTGTTCTTTTTTTTTTAAATAAGACTTTTGTGTTTAGAGAAAATGTTTTTGAAAATATTAGAGGTTTGATTAGAAATTTGATAGATAAGAGAATTTTTTATTAAAGAGAGAATTTTTTATTTTTGCTTGATACGTGTAGGATAAATTTGATAAATAGGAGAATTTTTATTGAAGAGATAATTTTTTATTTTTGCTTGATATAAAAGTGTAGGATTACATCTCTATTTATAGTACTTTAAGGAGAACTATAGACATACTAATTCTAGAGAGTTCTCAACTCTAGAAATTTCAAGAGTATTCTAGAAAATATTACAACTCTAAGAAGTATCTAGACACTCCAAACACTACAAGAGTTTTTTAGAAACATTACTCAAAATTACCTAAGTCCAAAATAACTAAGGCCTAAAATCCAAAACACAAATATTAAGGTTAGACCCAAATCAAGTTTAATATTTCAACACCCCCCAACTTGATTTGTGACTCCAAGCATATTCTTTAGCTTAACGAAAGTTTTCAACTTAAGTGGCTTGATAAAAATGTCGGCAGCTTGATCCCGAGACATCACATAGTTCAACTTCACTTCCTTCTTCTCGATGCATTCTCTTATTAAGTGGTAACGGGTGTCGATGTGCTTACTTATTTAATAAAATACGGGATTCTTTGCCAAAGCAAGTACTTATTTATTGTCAACACATATTTCCATAGGATCTTCTTGTGGCATTTTTAACTCTTTCAACAAGTTCCTTAGCCAAATTGCATGACAAACGCGTGATGTGGCGGCAACATATTTGGCTTCACAAGTTGACAGTGTGACAATAGGTTATTTCTTTGACATTCAAGTGAAAGCATTATCTTCCATAAAGAACACAAAACCAGTAGTGTTCTTTCTATCATCCAACTCTCCACTCAAATTGCCATCACTATGGCCAACAATCTCATAATTGTTAGTAGAGTAATAGTGCAAGCCAAAGTTTATTGTACCTTTGATGTATCGAAGGATTCTCTTTGTCGCCTTGAATTGATTTGTTGTTGGAGCTTCCATGTAGTGACTTACGAATCTTACAATATAGAGAATGTATGGCCTTGTACTTGTCAAGTAATGTAGACTTCCAACCAAACTTTTGCAAAGAGTTGGATCCACAATCTCTCCATTTCCATGCTTACTCAACTTGCTACCATATTTTATCAGGTGCAAACTGGATTGACATCATCCATCTTGAACTTCTTAAGGACTTCTTTGGCATAGCCTTCTTAGGTGATAAAAACTCATTTGTCTTCTTGCTTTACTTCAATGCTGAGATAATATGCCATGAGCCTCATATCTGTCATCTCAAATTTATTTGACAAGTCTTTCTTGAACTCTTCGAACATGCTTAGGTTGTTCCCTATGAAGATCAAGTCATCAACATATAAGCCCACAATCAAAATATATCCACTTTGTGCTTTAATATAGAGTGCATGCTCATATGGACACTTGATGAAGTTCTTGTCTTGAAAGTACTTTCTGATTCGAACATTCAAAGTTATCGGTGCTTGCTTGAGTCCGTACAACACCTTCTTCAACTTCAAGACTTTTTCTTCTTGCCCTTTTACTTCATATTGTAGCACCCCAAAATTTTCCTTTCCATTTTAGCAGCACCTGGCTTTTGTTTCTTAGCATTTTCGCTTTTCTACATTTGCATATCATTCGTTCTTGAGACACGGGATCAAGGTTTTCCTGTGGTTCAGTTTTCATTTATGGTGCAAGAGACGAAATAGCAAGCATCAGAGTCCCTGGCATTTGTTTTGCCCGGCGGTCGAGCGACCGATTTTATTTTGTTGCAGGTTGTTTTCAGGATAGGAGGCAGCATTCAGGCTATCGCAAGTATTCTCATGGTTATAGCATTCAGGAACAAGTTTCAGACGCTTAACAGAGCTCAAACGGTTGAAAACAGACAAATGTGCAAATTTCCCTCTAAAAGGCGCCAAATTCAAATTTTTGAAGGTGTTAATCGATTAAGCAAATGTGTTAATTGATTAACCAAATCAAGATCAGACCAGATTTGAACTTTTAACAGTGTTAATCGATTAACCCAAATTGTTAATCAATTAACTAGTGCAGATTTAGCCTCTGTACGTGAATTTTCAAAGGGGGTCACTTTGGGGTCCAATTTTGATCACTTGGAAGTTCAATTTTACACCTTGGGAAGGATTTAGAACCATCTTGAATTTTGGTTAATTTCATTTTCCTCCAAATTCCCATTCCTCATTCCAAACTAAATTTCACAAACCACATTCCAAACCTCTCATTTGGATTCAAACCTAAGGGGTATTTAATTGATTTACTCCAAACCTCACACATCTAGTCCTCATAATTTCATTCTCATTTCAGAACTCACTCTCATTCTCTCAATTTTCTCTCAACTTCCAAAACCCTCACCAAAGCTCTTCATTCATTGAATTCTTTGATTCTCCATTTGAATCAATGAATTCTTGAGCTAAAACCTTCATCCATCATCCTCATTGAATCAATTTCTTAATTCAATTTTCGTGCAAACTTGGTACTTTTGCTTTATACAAAAGTGTAGGATTACATCTCTATTTATAGTACAATAAGGATAACTCTAGAAACACTAATTCTTGAGAGTTCTCAACTCTAAAAATTCCAAGAGTATTCTAGAAAATATTACAACCCTAAGAAATATCTAGACACTCTAAACACTACAAGAGTTTTCTAGAAACATTACTCAAAATTACCTAACCACAAAATAACTAAGACCAAAAATCCAAAACACAAATAATAATACTAGGCCCAAATCAAGTTTAATATTTCTATCGGGATGAAAATCTAACGCTAAACCGTCGTAGCTCGATCTATGAAGAAGATTAAGCTATAGAAGGTCGCACAAATTGATATCCGTGCTAAAAACCCGATGGAGAAATGCTATTCAGGATCATTTTCCAATGTAATCGTGTCACACAGACAGAAAAGAAGATGACCTCGTCTTAATCACAAACTCGTGTTAATTAACAAAATGTAACATATCCCGATACCAAAGTATAGAAAATGATCCCAATGATCATTTTCTACAAATTTGAAATAATGAAGGTTAACAACCTCAATCAGCTAACATTCATGATATAAAGACTTCATGGGCCGAAAATGAAATTGAAAATAAAATTAAAATGGAAATGAAAAGAAAATGAGAAATAAAACTGAAGTTAAAAGAAACAATAGAATGAATTAAATGACAAAAACAAAATCATTTTAACAACTAGAATAAATTAGGATAATACCCTAAAAACAACTAAAACAAAAACACTTTTAAAAAGAAAAAAGAAAAAGACTAAATAATGAAAGAATAGGAGGGGGTGATGAAAAAGGGTTGGTGGTGAGAACCCTGAAATTCTCACGAGCCTATGGCCCATCCATCCAACAAATTGAAGAAAAGGGGGCAGTTAATCTATAGAGGGTGTGTAGAGGAAACACCATGGGCTTCAAAATGCCCAACATAGCACAAATCCAAAAATAAAATAAGCAAGACCAATGGCTCGTATCACCCGAACATCATTAGCTTCATCCTTTCACCGAAGCAACCTCAAACCAACACTGTCCACCACACTTTTCCTCTTTCTTTCTTTTTTGAAAAAACAACATCAATACACATTTAAATGATAAACCCAGAAACGAAAGAAAATGTCAACAAGGTTAAAAGCAACAACGACCTTTCCCTGTGCAAGACAAACTCTCTCTGTCTCTCAATTTTCTGCTCAGTTTCAAACGTGTTTGCTATGTCTAAACAGGTGTGGTTTCAAACTTTAATTCGATTCAAGTCTTCTTCTTCTTCTTCTTCTTCATCTCATCTCAGATTCACCCTTTCTGTTTTGGATATGTATTTGCTTTGGGGGTGGAGTCATGAATATTGGGTTTGAAGAAGGGATTATGGAAAAGGTTTCATGCTTGAATCACAAAAGAAAGCGATTTATTATTGAAGGGGAGTGGAAGGAAACAGAGGTTCGGTTGAGGAAAGAAGGGTCGTGTAAAAATTGGCTCCCCTTTTTTGTGATGTTTGCAGGGTTGTTTTATAGGAGATTTTGAGGGTATCATGGGGAGAACGGATCTTCCACTTTAGTTTGTTATAATTTGTTTTCCTTTCGTGACGTTGTGTTGCTTCTTCTTGTCGCTGTGTATTATGGTCTTGTATTTGAAAAAGGTTTGGGGTGCGTGATTCATGGGTTCTAATTTTGTAAGCC